CACTGAGAGAGAGAGAGGGGTTAATACAGTCCAGACACATTGACTGGACACTATAGTACATGAACACTGCACTGAGGAAGAGTTTAAGTGTTCATAGACTGTAATTTTTCTGTATTATCTTAGCCGTTTAGAAATGCCCTGAGCTAGTCCAGGCATCACAGCATACTGATGGCACTTTGCTCTCTTAACAAGCGAATGGAGCTGATTGTCTTGATTTTGACCAGGCTTGATCCTCAACAGGTTACATCACCTCATCACCTTTACCTAATCCACCCTCTCACTCATGAAGCCATTTAGTAGTAGTACACCCCTCAGAATCACTCTCGCGCATCGCGTTGAGTCAGGGTGAGGCAATAGGGGTGACACAAATAAATAGTCAGTATCCCATCTCTATATGCCTTGTTTTCTTAGTGCCATATATGCAGAAACAGACTGACTGGTTTCTTCTGATGCTTGGTACATCATAATCATTTTGATAATGACCTTTCTTTGGCTCGGAGTCCTGCTCCTGTAATTTTGCCTCCGGCTGGCAGGTGGCGCCCTCTTCCTGTATGTTCCCTTTTTCTGTCTTCTCCACTCTGTAGCTGCTGGACCTCCCACAGGATGCTCTGCCGGTGGTGATCATGTGAGTATTAGTACCACACAAATGGACGCTACAGGTGCGCTGCTTCTGCTATGACCTTAGGCACAGACGTGAGCAATGGTATAAAACTCAGTTGTTGTTGCTGTATGTGTGTGTCAAGCCTTACACATCTGTAATGTGTTAGGATTTTATTATGCTAAATCATTCATCCGTTTTCAAATGGTGTCATCCAATTCAGGGCTGCAGGGGAGCCAGACCATATCCTATCATGCAGTGGGAGCAGGGGACTGATGGGATGCCAATCCAGTGCAGGGCCACACAGACACACACACACACACACCTAGGGCCATACTTCCCAGAAACCAGTTAACCCACCAGCATGTCTTTGGTCTATGGGAGGAAACCGAGCTCCTGGAAGAAACCCACTTGAACACAAGGAGAACATACAAACTCCACGCAGACATCACCCCAGGAATTGAACCAAGGGCCCCAGCTCTACAATGCTTTAATGCTTACCATTGCACCACCAGTTCAGTTCAGTTTTTTGTCATGTACACCAGTGCACTGAAATGCGTACTTGCACGTATACTCCAATACAAAGGAATAAAGGAAACACCAAAAACATAAACACAGAACAGCAGCAGCAACAACAATTTAAATAACATTCATCTTAGAAAAAAGACACATCAGTGTGAGCCAGTGGTAGTGGTAGAGTTGAATTCAACCATTAGACATTTATGTAGTCCAAACAGGTTTTATGTCATCATTTTATTTTAGACCACCTCTGATATCAACCAGTTTGTTAACCAGTAATATTAGACAGTTTTGGATTGGAATAACTGTCCCACAGGTAACAGAATGTAACAGAATAAAGCAGGTGATAACCTACTGGGGAGTTCTTGCCACAAGGTGCCGCCAAACACTTGTTTTTAAAAGTCGAAACTGAGATTCACATAATTCACAAGGCTGTGAATTCTTTCTAAATATTCACCTGTTGCATTTTGCATTTTCACTGCCTCATAGCAGTGGGTGCTGACTGTACCCCCCCTCCCCAGTGCAGTGTGGGAGTTGTAGTTCTTACCCATAAGTGTAGTCCTCTGGAAGGGGGTAAGGGATGTGCTTCCGGGGCATGAGCAGGAAGGTACGGAGGAAGTGAAGGACACTGCAGCAGGACAGGAAGAGGAAGGAAGATCTGAGGGAGACTCCCTTCTCATATAGCACCTGGCGAGAGAGTGAGAGAGGCGCACCATTGCTGTTCACACTGCTGTCCAAGTATCTTACTCTCCACCCCTGTCTTGAACAGCACCCGGAGAAACACTCGAGACACGTTTGCTGTTACTGAGAGACACCCCATAGCAGCACCACGCTGTGCACAGCCCACAGTCGGCACTCGAGCAGAAGAACGTTACTCCTGCCTGTGTCTGACAGGCTGAGCCAGAAAGCAGTCGGCCATAATTTCAGCCATTTCAGTTTCAGCTCTTGTGCTACCAAGAGGCCTGTGCATGAAACACTGGAGATCCACAGCATTTTATAGTATTTGTGTGTGCATCCACAGACACAGACTCAGGCTCTCCAGCATTAATGAAGCAGCAGGGGTACTGTCCTTCAGTGCAAGAGAACAGGGGAGTTGCAGTGCGAGGTCTCTGGGAATTCAGGAAACTCACCAGTCTGCTGTCACTGAAGTCCAGCAGTGCATGCAACAGTCCACAGAGTACTGGAAAACCTCACTTTCACATAGCAGGTGAGGAAACTAATGCTGAAACTAAGTGGGGCCGTCCAATGTCTAACAGTGTTTTGGGATCCTTTGGCATGAAAAACACTACAGAAACGCAGTGAACCGATGAGTGAATGATTACCTTGACGATGAGGAAGACTGCGGACGAAGAATCGAAAGCGCCGTTGTAGAGGGTGATGATAGTGGAGCGCCGAGACCCGAACAGATTCCCCACCTGAGAGAGAGAAGAAGACCGGGGTTGGGGGGTTTAATGCAGAAGACTCACAGGCACACAGGTGGACACTACCTACTGGGTGATAAAGAAGGACAATGGCTTCATTCCTGGTCATTAATCACACAGCACTGACTGATTGAGTGCATTCGACCTTAATATCACGTGAGTTTGTGTGCTGGGATGTGACCTCCCATTTGAAGCCCCTCTGTGAAGATGCTCCAATGAGGCGATGATGTCGCTGTCTCCTCCCACCCAAGTCCTGCTTTGAGCTGACAGCTCTGGTCAGCAGGCGTTGGGCTAAAAACAACGTAACGCTCACCGCTGAAAAACCAAACGAAAACATGACCGCTAGCAGGAGGAGAAAACTTCCCCAGTGCTGCTGGGAGGACTGAGGAATCAGTTGACTCCTACGGGTTTCTAGGAATCTTGAGAGGGATTCCAGTGTTCGTGGGATGGTCAAGGGAAGGACAGCAGAATATTCTTTCCCAGAAAGCTGGAGGATTTGGGTAAGCATCAGAATATGATAACGCGGCTCGAAATGGTAATCCATCGCAAAATGACATCTGTCAGGCTGGCATCTGAGACGTTTCCCGTCTTCCACAGAGCTCGGCATAGTGCTCCTGACGAGGCTCGTCTCATCCGTCATCCGTCTCGGCTTTCCCAACGCGGCAGGCATTAGGAACGGATTCAGATGAGAGAACAGGTACCCACCTGCATATTGGTGAGCAGCAATAATATCCCTCCGACTGCGAGAAGAGAAAGGGCTGGGAACAGAATCACCGAGGAGACTGCGGGAGAGACCAGAGAGAAAGAGCACATAGGAACATGAATCTCAGTGCCTTTCGGTTTCAAGACCGCTGTCAGAGAAACAAAACAGAAATTGATACACAAAGCACTTTGAGATGATTGCTCTTAAAGGTGTTAGCGGTATATCAGAGTATATATGATATATATATAAACTATACATTAAATTTATATTAGATTATATTTATCTTATGTATAAACAGGGGTCCGTGGTAGCTCAGATGGTAAGGGTGTCCAGCTCTGGACTGGAGGTCCTGGGTTCAATCCCAGGTAGGGGCAAGTGATGTAGCTTGTTCTAATTCCTTCCAGATGGCTCCTGGGTCCCCCCAGCCTGCTTTCCAAGTGAGTACCAGGGGGTTAATCCTTCTGGGAGCGATAGGCTGGCTGGAGTGTGATGTTGACCACATCACCTCCACCTCCAGCATTGGATGGTCAAGAAAAATGGTGTCCCTAATCCCCATGGGCCTTTATAACCTACCCATGTATAACCAGATTTATATATTTGGTTATCAATTAGCCTAGTTACCTACCTTAGATTATGGGAGTGTGGAGTGTAACTGTTTGGAGTTAATACCAGTGTAACACTGTCTTACACTGCACACAGGCATTGGAAGTGTGAGACTCCAGATTCCAACTATAGAGGCAGCGGAAGAATTAGCTGAGAAAATTTACACAACTGGAAAATATTTACCTGCAGATGAAAAGGCAACCATGAGTGTGGCTGAGGTATGAAATGATCTGAAAATAAAATGGCATGACATCTGGTTAGTCTGAGTCCCGATTACTCACTGGGCACTTCATCCTGTAGAGACAGAATTTGTTACCTGTAAAGGCACATAGATAGATAGAAACTTTATTGATCCCGTGAGGGAAATTGCAGTGCAACAGCAGCAACAGTGTAACGAATGACACAATAATAATAATACAATACAACAATACAATCAGTACAGTGAGAAGTCCACTAAGAAGAGTTACTCACAGTCCAGAACACACAAAAAACAAAACAGAACAGAACAGTACACCAAAAAACATTGTATTGCACAATATACATATAAATATAAATGTATTGCACAGGTCCTTGGCATATATTGCATAAAAATGGTAGTAAATGGGGAAAAAGAAAAAGAACAGATGTATCAGTTTACTGTTCAGTCCAGAAACAGGTCACTGGCAATGTTGCCTCTGCCCAGACGCAAGGTGGATGCTTTGCACAGTCTTATGGCAGAAGGCAAGAATGACCTCCTGTAGCGCTCCCTGTCGCACCATGGATGGATCAGTCTACTGCTGAACATGTACTGGGTCTTTACAGCTAGCAAATCGTGCACAGGTACAGCACAAGTGTGCACGCTCAGTCCCATCCTTCCCACTCTCACACACAGCTCCATCCACACGGGGAGTCTTTTCAGCTCGGGGAGTGTCCTGCTGAGTCTGAGAGATGGATGGTGGAATTATGGAGATGGGTCAGTAGTTCACCCTCTGCTGAATGAGATGTTCTCGGAGAGCAGCACACTTTTCTCTCTGCTGGACGCCTGGCAACTGATCATTTCTTCTGTGTGTCTCACTCCTCCCCCTGTCTGCCTTCAGCTCGTCCACTCAAGATATGCAGGTGGCACATCAGCCTTGGGCTTAGCGCTAGTGCCTCATGGCTCTGGAGTACCAGGTTTGACTGTGTCCTATTAATTGTCGGGGGTCCTGCCCAGGTTAGAGTCCTGCCTTCCACTCTGTGAATACAGCACAGGCTTCAGGTTACATCAAGCCCACAGCAGTCAGTGGTTTTCTGATAATGAAGGAGAAGATGATTACATAAATGCTCTGTCATTCAGTGACTTGTTTGTTTAACGTGAGCGGCTTCAGGTTAGGAGCAGACACAGCTTATGATGCTAGCAGATGTATTCTTGCATGTTTTCTCCCCTTTAAAAGTCCATGCATCTGCAGAAAGCAATGTGGCATAAAATATCGGTTATACCCCCTCACCCCGAAACCTCTGTTTTAGGGTTTGTCAGTACTGAATTCTACTCATTTCAGGTTAATTTATGTAGTGATTTTCATGCAAAGGAAGGCCAGAATTCTTTTACACATTGAAATGGTCCATTTGTTTCATATCCCACTGAAATGCAGCCCCAGGTGGGAGACACAAATAGCCAAGGTCTTGGTTTAACATCTTGTCTGAAAAGCGACACCTCCTTTTCACAGCACATTTTCCCAGGTCACCATACTGAAGCATTAGATTGGAGATTATGGCCCAAATAGGAGAGTGCCCCCTACTGGTCCACTAGAGCCACTCCTACAGCAGCAGCCTGCTTTTCCTCCTAGGTCTTCCATCCCAGGCCCAGCCCAGCTTAGCTTCTTCGATCTGGTTAAATAAAATATTTGAAGATAAGAATTGCAGTACTTTGGAAGTGCATGGAATCGGCGCCTTCCTTTCCTGCCACTAGAGGTCACCAGCACTATTTGACCATACTCCAGCCTGCTGGATCAGCAGAAGGACAGGCAGAAATTTGTATTCCATTGCTCCTTGCATGTAGGTCAGGAAGATTTGCAAAACTGTAATTTTAAGGCACTGAAAGAGAAAAACTTTGAAAGGCTTTCGTGTGATCCACTTCGGGGTTATTGTGAAGCTGCCTCTTGGCACAGTGTCAGGAGATTCAGCCAAAGGAAGCTGTGTCCAATTTGAAAGAGCCTCTGGGGACTCATGCTAAGAGCTGCTGGCGGAGGAGATGGCCTGCAGCTGGAAGGATCAGGAGAGAGAAGGAAGGAGGGACTCTTCTCCATTCCTCTCCCTTTCTCCCTCCCTCTACAGGCTCTTCCTTCTCTCTCTCCTCTCGTCCTCTTTCGGAACATTTTTTATCTATTGCCTGGCATGCATTCGCAAAGAATTCCAGTGATGCCAACTTGCCAACCATTTTAAAACAACAATATTTTATGAGAGGCTCCCTCTGTGCTCTTCAGGCTGTGACGAGAGATCACGTGCTGGGCTGGAGCTCAATTGAGTTTCCCCTCTCTCTCTCTCTCTTCTCCCCGAGGACTGACAGCTAGCTAAAGCAAACATTGATGCCCGGTGGTGTTTAGCTGCACAGAGCAGTTATTCATGCAGTAAGTGATAAACAAGCGTGGCAAATTAGATTAGCCTCCAGACTGGGTCTGTCTGGAAGTCTCATCAACACACTGCGCCATTAGATAACATGGCCTCTGTTAGCTCTCCCACAGCCAGGTGCATTCTCCTGGAACGCAATGAATAATGAGCAGACTGAGTCCAGGCAGTGAGGTGGTTCTGTGGCTAAGGATCTGCGCCTGTGGCTGGAAGGTTGCCGGTTTGTATCCCGCGGCCGGCGGAGGACTCCTACTCTGTTGGGCCCCTGAGCAAGGCCCTTAACCCCAACTGCTCCAGGGGTGCCGTATAAATGGCTGACCCTGTCTTCTGACCACAAGCTTCTCTCCCTGTCTGTGTGTCTCATGGAGAGAAAGCTGGGGTATGCGAAAAGACAAATTCCTAAAGCAAGAAACTGCAACTGTTTATGGCTAATAAACTGATCTCTCTGGTATTCCTCATCGCAAGCTCTCGTCCTGAGGTTTTAGGGAATATGGAAAAGGAGGCTTTGTTCATGATAATGAGCGCGGTCCTGAGAGAGGGAGTTGATCAGGTAGGTGTCACAACCCGACACAAAACAGGAGTATCTGGTTTAGCCCGACAAGGTGCACCTCACATGGCCTGACCCAGAAATCGATAATTTTTACTGAAATAGGCATTTGTGTGCTTTTACACACCTGTGCTTGCACCTGTGAACCGACTGTATGACTGCACGTGGAGCAGATTAAGGAAGTGGCTACTGCCACTGTGCCGTCCTGAAATAAAAACATATCTCTTATGTTTTTAACACATTACATTACACATTACAACTTCCATATACAAGTGATAAGTGAGCAAACCGAGTTTTGGCACAAACAGTACGTTGTTGTTTCAGCAGTGTCAGCAGATTGGGCTTCTGACGCAAACTGAGCTGAGCGAAAATCAATCCGTTAGGCTGTCCTGGGTTCTCCATCGACAGTGCTGTGACCTTGCACCCTCTGCCTGCGGAGGTTTCTGTGCACTTAGTGTTGGTTATTGAAAAATGTACCGAAAGAAGACAGTGAATCAAAGGAGCAATCTTTGTGGCCCTCGAGCACAATGAGGAATGAAAATGTTTCTTCAATGAGTACAGAAGGCAGGTTGCCTCCGATCCAACTCATTTCCTAAAAGATCAGGCCAGTCTGCTGCCCTAGAGACACAGGTTTCAAATTCCAACCCCTGGTAACCCACAGGGGTCCTTCGAGTCTTGTTCTGACTTCTGCCAGGTGGCCAAGCGCCTGCCTGCCTCTGCGATTCGACTGTGTGCATTCGCATGCACCTCACAGAGCTGAAGCTCCCTGGAACCGACAGAGACAAGCTGAAGCGGAAGGGAAGAGATTTGTGGGATCTGCTGGAGTCGGTGCTGGGAAACACAGAGGGTGTCAATGAGGCTGAGTGCTAGACAGACAGAGAGGGCTCTGTTCTCAGCCCTGCGGCCTGACTCCAGCTGTTCACTCGCATCACGGACAGCAAACGTGTGAAAAGCTCAGAATCTGGGAGGAAGGGCTGGACTGGGAGTGTGGAACAAGCTGCCCACACATGTTGTTGAAGTTTATACTGTGGCCTCTTTCAAGAAACAGCTGGATGAGATCCTCCAGTCAGGACAGGAGGCACTAATTTACACTAAGGGTGGTGAGAGTGTAGAACAAGCTGCCCAGCCAGGTTGTTGAAGTTTATACTGTGGCCTCTTTCAAGAAACAGCTGGATGAGATCTTCCAGTCAGGACAGGAGGCACTTCTTTACACAAAAGGTAGTGGGAGTGTGGAACAAGCTGCACAGCCAGGTTGTTGAACCCAATATCCTTTCTTGAAACAGCTGGATGAGATGCTTAGGTCAATAGACTGCCGAATGACCAGATGGGCTGCATGGGAGGAATGGCCGCCTCTCGTTTGTGACCTGTCTTATGTTTTAGTGTGACAGGCACTCCAACCAGACTGAACCCATCATCTATTGTAAAAACTCACTGAATTCAGTGTTTTCTGAAAGCTTTCCAGGGGTTTTGTTTCTTCAGTCAGATTCCTGAGACATCAAGATATAGGTGAATGCTGAGCAGCAAGAATTTTTTTTCTTTTCAAAGGTTTCCACCGTCTTTGGCACAATGATTTCCCACCACCTTTAGGAAAATGTTGCCTTCGCCTCCCTTCTATTCACTTGTAGATTCATATTCAAGTTCAAGTTCAAGTTCAAGTTTATTGTCATTATACTCATATACAGGTGTGTGGAAATGCTATTTAGCTAGCTCTTGGACGATAAGTAGTACAAAGAAATAAAACAACAACAATACAATTGTATAACAAAAGAAAGACAGAGACAACAGGCAGTGTGCAAAATAACAACAACAGGTAACAGGTAATGTGCAAAAACAACATCAGATGTGCAAAATCATACATCAAGAGAATGAAATAAAGGACAGAAATGATGGGGAGTG